GGAGATCTGGCATTAACAGCACCCATGGAGGGGGGGGGCAACAGCAGGTGGCCCATCAGGGCTGAGGCCCAAGACTGAGAAGTCGCTGGCAGAAACAGCTTTCCAATGTGTTCTGGGTTCTGTGGGTCCAGGAATGGGTTCTGGGGCAGTGAGTCTCTGATCCTGAGGTCTTGAGGGTCAGGCTCATGTGTGGCAGCTCCCAGGGGTCCTCTCACATCAGGGCCACCGCTGACTCAGCAGCCCCTCCCACCATGCCCTACTGCCCAAGGCATGCAGGAAGGACACCCACCCACACTGTAGGTCACATGTCCAGACAGTTGTCACTGGATCTGGAAGATGCCTTTTACCAAAGCGGGAGTCAGAAGTCAGGGAAGAGGCCATCCAGGTAAGAGTCACCAAAGAGAACCCCTGTCCTGCTCCTGTGTGACAAGTAGCCTCAAAGTAGCCAGCCTTGCAGAGCCCAGGCCTGGCCCAGAGCTGCAGCCCAGCTGGGAATGGTGGATTTCGTTTTGTTAATGGGCCCTAGCGTGCTCGCTCTGGAGCCTGTGCCCCAGATTGGGAGCCCTAGTCTCCTAAGTTGTGAAAGCCCCCGAGAGGTGTCCTTTGGAGGGGGGGGGGCAGTGTAGGGGTTCTGGTGCTCTGTGGACCTCAGAAGGCTGCCCACTGCAGGGACCCTGGAGGGATGATGGTGTTCAGTGCATTCACTCCCAGAGTGGTGACTTCTGATGCCTGGGGACCATAGAGCCTGTGTCCAGGACAGCCCCTGCCCTGCTCAGCCACCCTGGCCACAGGCCACTCTGGGCCCAAATGGACTAGGAGGGTCTGAGGACAGGGCAAGGGTAGGGACCTCGCGGGTAGGTGCCACTGGGGTACCGGGAGCCAGATTCCAACCACAGGAGATTCACATTGGACCTAACCGCCCCAGAACCTGGCACCCAGGCCCAGGGATGTCCAGGGGTTGTATGAGTGTCCCCCAAAAACCCTCCCAAGTACAGGGCTAGGAGGCCAACCCGCTGCTCGGTGCCTGCAGTGCCTTGGATCTAGCACGAGGAAGGTGCTGGAAGGTGAGCCAGGCCCAGGGCTCTGGAGGCTGCTCCCAGATACCTCTGCCCACTGCATTGAGGGAGGGGGCCGGCAGGCCCAACAAAGTGGGGCTCCGTTGCCACGCACCTAAGGCCCCCTGTGCCCTGATCTTTGTTCACTGGTACAAGTTGATGTATATGAGGGGCGGCGACCCCCACCCACTTCTCTGCCCCGCCCCGCCCCACCCCAGGGAACAACTTCCTGTGCACCTGCCCATTTGCTGCCCTCCTTCCCGCCAGCAGGACCACACAGCAACGGCCCTCTGTGCATGACAGGGCCCCCAAAGCACAGCGTTTCGGGGCTCACCCATGGGGGGACACACCACGGCTGATACTCCAACGCACAGTCCCAGGTAGCCACCGTCGGATACAGGCAGCTCCCCCAGCAGGCTCGGTCCATGACGTCTCCCGTGCCCGGGAGTGGAACTGCGGGGGCATGCGTTGTTCTAGGAGCTCGGGTGGGGTGGTGAGATACATGTTGGGCTGCTAAGCACAGACTGGACAGTTCAAACCCACCACCCACTCCTTGAGCAAAAGAGGAGGCTCTGTGGTCCTTTAGAGATTGGTCGCCTCAGAAATCCTCAGGTGTGACCCGCTCTTGACTTGGTGGTAGTGGGGAGTGGGCTTGTATGGTGGTTAACTTCTTGAAGATTCACCCTAATTGCCCACACCATTTTACGCCCCACCAGCAGTGACTGGATGGGGGTCTCTACAGCCTCTGACCCCTGTTGTTTCCTGACCCTAGCCAACCTACACGCTAATTGTGACAGATACAGAATTGGCGTATGTTCCGTGATGCAGCGGCTGCAGGATGGGGTAGGACCGGTTAACGGAGGCTAACAGTGGCACTCACGGAGCAGAGTTGATTACATTCTCGAGCCCCACGACCACCTGCTCCCTCGCGGCCCCACGACCCCTATCACCTTCAGAGCGGCTGTCGTCAGCAGGTCCTGTGCTCAGCGCAGACACCTCCTAGTTACACGACTGTTTCCCTTTGAGAGGACTTCAGGGAATATTTGTTTACAGCTTAAAGACGATCTTAGGGCAGTCCCACCTCCACAGCTCCTAAAGACTGGATTCCATGAGGGGTTTGTTTGACAGTTTCCCCCTTTTGAGCAGGATTCTTCCAGAGTCTTTCATCAAACTGTTCAAATAACTGTAACTAGACGCCATCCATTTCTTTTGGTCCCATGGTAAAAGGGGCAGTTGTTTATTGGGGGCAATTAGCAATACATTCCACATCGTCCCCGTTCCCCACTCCGCCCGCTCTATGGCACAGAGAGGATTGTTGTGTGTCTGGGGGCTGCTGGCACGCTTGT